TGATAGTAGATTATTTTCATGTAAAACTTCTCGGCAAATTCGTGTGGTACTCGACGTATTAAACATTTCATTTTCATTTTTCTATTTCTTTCTTCTCTATTATTAATTTTCTGCGCTGTGTCATCGCTTTGGGACGTTGTAATGTGAACTTGTAACCTTTGTCGCCATTAAGGCGACACAGAACAGTGGCAGCTAGAAACAATTGTTTTCTATAAATGGTGTTTCGTATTGTTAGATTTGTTACATTGTAATTGTATTTTAATGATAAAACGCGATCTCGCGTAGCTCACATTGTATAGAAATGACTCAGAGTTGCTGGGAGGTTCCATCAGAAATTGAGTTAAACAATTTTTCTCTGTTCTGTGTATTTTTTGTCAGACAAATCGGCAACAGGGAGAAACGTTGTCACACGTGTAGCGGCTAACAATGGCGTCGGAAAAGGAGCTTTTCGAGAGATTTTTGGTGAGAATTCGTTTTTGAGAAAGAGTCCTCAGCATTTTTAGATATTCGACCGACAAATTGGTCCACGTAAGTAGCTTTCCATGACAGTCTCAACAGCGGACGCCATAAATTTCGGGTCGTCGAAAGGACTGCAGCTCGAGATGTCCAAGTGAAGTGTGCGTCTGGGTTTCGTCAACCAGCGGAAGTTGGTGTTCGGTCACGCGGATCCAAGCGTCGCACACAGACTAGGCTCGGAAGACACACCTCTGCATCATCGGCAATAATTAGAAAACGCTTTAAGCCCTTGTTCTAGAACAACGAGTGAGACTCGTGGTGAAGACTTTCAACATGATTCAACAAATATATATATTATTCAGTTCATTCCGATTCAAATATTATTCCGCTACAATCAATTATTATACTTAGAAGGAAATATAGACATAACGTATACTTAGAATTCTTCTCTTTTCCCAATAAATTATTAATGACAAAGTAGTCGCATCGATCAGAGTTGAGAAAGAAATAATAGGTCAAGGGGTTAAACAACTGCCTCTTTTCTAATAAAGCTTGCCGAAGGCGTAAAGAGTAAAATTCGCTGATTGAAGCTTCTTTTTGAGAGAATCGGTAAGAAAAATCGGAATACCGACAAGATCGCTTAGACACGCGAAGAATTTCGTACTTATAGTGTACAGTTGAAAATGAATTTGTTCACTGAACATGCAGTTCGGATTGAGAACCAACATTCCTACACGTGATAGATGTGACCTTCGCGTTCGACAAAAATTGTATGGAAAATAAATTTGCTCTCATCGATAGTTTTGCTCGTAGAATTATTTTTGATCTTAATATAGACATTCCGTGATGAAAATCCACTGGGAACATTTAACAGATTGGACGCGGTTTATGTAGACTGACGTTGTATGTGGGTTAAGAGTTTCTTTATCTTTATTAATGATTTTTAGGAGGTCGAGGAATGATGAAAGACGTCAGAAAACGTTGGCCGTAAGAAGTTTCTGCCAGATAAATAGAGAGCTGAAGAAGATTACTGTTGCATGGCTCTCGAACAACTCGGAAACGGAATTATTCTTGTCCGACTAGAGGCCGTCGACCTGTGAATATTCCATGAAAACGCGCCGCCTATTTCTCTCTTGGAGAGCGAACTTCTGATAAAAAAACACGTATCCCGTCGCTTCTCAAAGTGAAGTTTTCTTATCTTATCGTTTTTTCGTGTCTCCCTTGTCTCTTATATTCTAGAAAATAAAGAAAAGTATCTCGTGACCACCATTTTGGGAACGGTGGACGTGATTCAAAATGGCCGACCGTTGGCTCCGCTGCGCTCGGAGGACGTTAATGATAAGTATAAGCGATTCAAACGATTTTCATGGAACGTAACACGCGTAAATCGCGGTTCCGCGGGATCCTGTAATTTCATTAGACTGTATGCACGCGTATGGTTATACGGGACGGGTATTTGCAATGCAAAACAGCGTATTATCGGCGGACAACGAGAACAGAGTCGCCTTAGTTAGTATAAATTGAGATAGACGGACTGGCGTGACTGGCGTCCAGGCCGATGTTTTTCTTTTCCCACCGCAGGGGATGGCGTTTCACGCCCGTGTTCGTGAACATTATGTATTTACGCGGCTGTTAGCGTTGCAACGGAATCGTTCGGGCGACAAGATGGCGGCGATGACTCGTTAATCCTAGAACACGTTCGCAACCAGCTTTGCACGTTTGCGACGATCTCAATCTCATATTTTGCATGAAAGACATTTGAAAATCGGAACGAGTTTCTGCAATATTCATTAACTTTCATATAATTAGGGAAAATTCTCCCGAATTTTTATTTCAAGTCGCGAAACACGAGATACTCTAAGAATCAAAAACTGGCGTTTCAAAATCTGAGATGCGAAAAACTTAACAAACCAAGAGAATTTCTTTTTCCTTCGAACACCAGGTAGATCAATTCAAAACAGAATGCAGACACTTATTACCTCTCGAATTATAAAACGAACGTAATTTCTCGTTATCTCGAGGAGCTCGGAATGGAAAAGATTTTCCCCGCGCGAACCATGCAATTTTCGCCGTTGCGTTTAAATAAACCATCTAACTCTTCCGTCGACTCGCTTGTCCTCACGGTCCCCGTATAAATATAGTCCGCCATTTTTTTCTTATTACACAGGCCGGTATCTTAAACTCCTTATAATAAGGGCGGCCGAGGAGCGACGAGGAGGCGATATAAAAAACGAACGAAGTTAAAAATCGGCGATAACGGCCGGCCCGTGATTACACGGTATCGCGAACACCATTATCGGTGGACGCCGATCGCGGGCCCGACACGGACACCATGGCCGGCGACGCGAGAATGGCCGGAAAGGGGACCGACGCCGCCGCGGGGACCGATAATAGAGGAGGACGCAAAGACAAAGAGGCGGCCCGATCGTTGATAAATGATTTATGCATGCCACTTGACTCTCATTAATGCCTACGGTCCCGATACTCCTTCTCTTTCGCTCGCTTTTCATCCTCCTCTCTCTCTTTCTCCGTTACGGTGTTTACGAGCGGCCGTAATATGTTTATTAAAATATTTATTAAACAAATAAATATGAATATAGTGGATCGCGAACGATCCGAACCAGTATAATATTGTCCTTGTCCACGGCAATTTTTGGGAACGAGCCTCACGCGTGTCGGGCAAGTGAAATAAACCATGGAAAATCGGTATATGTACACGATAAATATATATCGTCGCCGAGATCATTTTTCTGAAAGATAATTAACATTCGCTTTGTATAGAGTAGGTTCGTACAAGCTTAATTATCTGAATTGATTGACTTTCTGAAGTATCTTGATCCCAATTGGGTTGGATAATTAACGGTCTACCGCATGTTTAGGTATAATAGTAATTTATTAAAACCTTCGGGCAGCGTTGATTGACAGGTGGTACGGTTTCTGTGGGAAAAAATGGAGTTAGATCGCGTGGTTCGCCGGGTAACACGGAAACAGCCGCGCAGCCTGTAATCTCTGGCACCCGTTTTTCCTTTAATTCCATTTAATCTCGCCGCCGAAAGTGATCAATTAAAACAGCGTGATTCAATGGCCAGGCACGCCGCCAGTTTCTGATATTACTCGGTTATGGTTACCGGTGTCTATCATGGTATGAACTTTTATTTATTATGGTCGAATGGTTATCAGTCGACCATGCTGGGCCATAATGGTTTTTAATAATTACATAATAATGCCCGGCATTTAAGCGAGTCATACATCGGTTACTGGTTTTACGATAATATTATTATTTAATCAATGATGCCCGCGCTTTATGCTCGCAAAATTCACGTGAACGGGCCATAAGGTTTATAATGCACAATTCCCTTGCCATTACATAATTACTCCTATTACCGATCTTCATTAAAGTCTCGATGAATTACCAGCGAGTAATGATCAATCTCGACATCCATTTCAATCTCAATCTCAGCAACAACTCAATCGCGCGATCGACAAAATTTGTATCGCTAATGGAATGGTTCGATAGATATCACGAAAGTTTTAAACTCGCTGAACGTTCATCGCGATCGGAATCGATACTGACATGGTTTATTCGTTCGCTGGAAAAACTGTGTGACGCGCGCGTGTGTGTTTGAGTGTGTGTGTGCGTGCGTGTGTGCGTCAGGCCTGTCGACACGTTTGTCACGAGGCTGCGGTCTCAGGACCCCATGACGTCAACCACCTTATCTCGGGGACATTGTCGCGTTTAGCAGCGACGCGTGTCCTATTTTCCCGTCGGCATTCTGCACGTTTCTTTACAGGTGTAAGCGGGCGTCGGACAATATTTATCGACGCGCGTATTGGCCGACACGTGCCGCGCGGGCCGACGGACGGTTCTTTTTCCACTTAGATAAAAGACGACTATAGAGCCACGTCCGAGCGGAGCAATTTTATTCGTTTCGTGCCTCTAGTCTCGATTACAGCCGCCACGATACGATTCAAGTAGAAAGTTGCTCTAAATGTGGCAAACGGGAAGAAAGAATTGCTGCCGTACTCTTGTATCGCGATTGAAAGATTCTTATTGTTGTTGCTTTCGAAAAGAGACTGGGGTGGATGTGTTTCGATGGTAACATGGTAGATTGTAACAGTAAATAGCAGTATAGTAAATAATAATAGTATAGTGAATAGTAATAGTATAGTGAATAAGGGTATAGTAAGTAGTAGTAGTATAGTGAATAGTAATGATATAGTGAATAGTAATAGTATAGTGAATAGTAATGATATAGTGAATAGTAATAGTATAGTGAATAAGAGTATAGTAAATAGTAATAGTATAGTGAATAGTAATGGCATAGTGAATAGTAATAGTATAGTGAATAGTAATAGTATAGTGAATAAGAGTATAGTAAATAGTAATAGTATAGTGAATAAGAGTATAGTAAATAGTAATAGTATAGTGAATAAGAGTATAGTAAATAGTAATAGTACAGCGGACAATAGTAGTACAGAGAATTTTGAAAAATATTAAATTTAGGTCCAACATAAATATTCCATTATCCCTGCACTATACTTACTAAAATCCCCTGGACAAGATTTACAGCAACGTCCAGGCAGTAGAACGGGTTCATGGCAGGTCAGTTTCGGACACTCGTTTTTGATGTTGCGGCAATGGACCCTCGCGACGATTCGTCGTTTCTTTTGCACCTGCAACACGCACAACGAACACCGTTCGTCAGTTTAATTATATCCTTAAGAATCGTATAATTTCCTCGAAGATTTATCATTCACGCTTATGATTCAAATGTAACAGCTGATTCGGAAATTTCAGGTGATCACGGTGAATCCCAACCAAAACTTTCTCGATCATAACGAATAAACTAAATTGAATGAACCGCTCTGTGTATCAAACGAAAAATCCGCGAGTATCTCCTATCGTAATTCTATTTTTCTAATTACCTTCTGGAACATTTGAATTTCTGCGCAAGGATCCGCGATTTGGTAACAGTAATCAGATTACGTTTCGTCCGACCGTGGACGCCGTTTCGAGAGGGCGGGCGGGCGGAGAGGGGGGGCGGGGGGTTGTTCACGGTGTTCACGACACGTTCGAAAGCGTTGGCTGCATAAACCCCCGGTGTCTCGCATGTTTATTACCGCTTTACGCATCGCTGACGACAGTTGTAACGTTTACATACAGGCGGCACACGCGATAAATCTATCGGCGAAGTAATTGGTAGGTGTTATTGATCACAAAGGACTCGTTTATCACGGTCAATGGTGGCCATTACCCGGCCACCGGCGCGATTTACAGTGCTCCGGGTAATATAAATTATTATTTAATGTCTTTGTCGCTCGCCACGCACTTTCTAACGGGTGGACACGCGAGCCGCGGGCGAAAGAATCGACGAAAGCTTTCCCTGGACCGTTCTCTCTCCCGTTTCGCTGCCACCGTTCGACCGTTGGCAAGCGGGCGCGTCTCTGCGCGACTGCCATGGTCACCGATGATCGACGCTTCTCGATTGCTTGAAAATAATTGTAACACGCGAACAGTTTAACGTCGGATGAAAACGTTTGATAACTTAAGCTGATAACAGGGTAACGTAAGGATTACGAAGCCTAACTGTTAATAATTGTTTCCGTTCATCTTCGCCAGGAAATAATAAGTGTTACGTGAAACGTTCAAGGCGTGCCAGCTGAAACAGTCTTCACTGTTTCAAACATTTTTAGAATTTTCATATTTCAATTTAATTTTCCAAGTTGAATAGCTTTTCTGCAACGTCTCGACTTTTTCTGCGACGATTATAAAGGTAACTCAGCGGTAAGTCGGTTCTCGGCTCGGAGAAACGCGCCGCGACAAGTGGGGACTTTTTCAGGATGCGACATCGGCAGAAAGTTATTCGTCGTTATTTCAGCGGGGAGGTGGCTTAATAAATCCGTGTTCGTTACCCGGCGACTTCGACCGCTTTCCAACTGTAGATCTCTGTCGCTAGCCCTAACCTGAATCAATGTTCTCCGCGCTCGAAGGAACGTCTTACTTACGGCCCCGGGTGCCATTCTTTACGACGCGTTTCGCGCACCGCTACAGCGCGATTCAATGCCCGGGGACCGGAAACGAGGAGCTTTCTCTACCGAACGTGTGCACTTTTAATTGAAATGTACGACGACAAGCCTTGCAGCGCCATGCTTGCAACAATGCCATTGTGAAATTAACGTGAATTCAAATGTGAAAATTGTCGAGTATCGAAGAAAGTGTTGTGAATTGTACATATCTATAATGGATTTTGTATCGATCGTTACTATGGTTTAGCGTTAACGCTAATTGATCAAGTGATATACAAACTAAATTACAAATCAGTGGAAACCTCAATAGATGTATTTATCAGAGCTCTTAGAAAAAGAATTAAAGAATCTCCATTTAGCTAGCTTTCAGTAGTGTTAACACCTTTGTCTTTCACTTGTTAGAACCATTTATCGTTAAGCATTTAAGAAACAAAAAGATTCAATACTATTTCACGTCTAGATCGACTCTAAACCATACAAACTAATAACAAGAGAAACAACGTTCCGTTTGAACTCAAATCGAATGACGTTTGAAATCTTCGCCACGAATCTATGAGGCTTACCCCTTACCATCCAACGACAAGCGAACAAATGTTCATTGCACTCAAATAAATATCAATTCTATTACCAACGTATCTTCAAAGTAAAGTCAGGCTTACAGCAGAACAGAATTCTTCCGAGTTTATCCAAAATGTCGACAGTAACATGTTCCACGAGCTTAGCAGCGAGAGTAAACGATGCGGCGAGGGGTTAAAGAAGATTCACGGCGTCCTCGCCTATCCCCGAGTGTGAAAAGTCAATCGCGCGGAATTCTTTCCGACCGCGACGACCGACGGCGACGAGACGGGCGACCGGATAGGGATCGTAGGAGAGACACGCGGACCGACGGGGTTCCGGTTACGGCGACCGCGAGCGGCGGAAATTAAGTTCAGGGTTTTATAGTGCTGCACGGCATTCCTGAAACACGAAACGATACACGTTCGATGTCGATTCGGTTGGCGAGGAAGCAGAAGAAGGAGAGGAAGAAGAAGAAGCCAAGGAAGAAGGGGGGAGGGGAAGAAAAGGAGGAAAACGAGAAACAGATACGGAGAAAGAGCGGAACGACCGCGACCGGTCGGGCCGCAGACGGTTAAACTTCGAATTACACGAGGACCAGGGCGCCGGTGGTAAATTTTCTGTTTTCAAGAGGTCTGGGTTAGGCCGAGACAGTTTTCGCCCGGCGGACACCGTGCTCGCGCGACCGGATAGCAGTTTTTATCGGCGCCGAAGGATACGCTTCAGGTGGCCGCCACGTTCTGAAGAAACTTCGAACGTGTCCCCTTCGGAAGTGTTCACGGCGGGGTGAAATGTGATCTGATTACTTATTAACCCTCTGCACCCGAGAGGCGACTCCGAGTTCCCATAGAATTCGCAGCAAGACCATAAAGTTTTGTACTTAATATTAACCCTTACTCGAACATCTTTACCAAAGCTTTCAGCAGCTCGGACTTTTTTCTGTTTGATTTTCAGTGCGTATTGTTGGTGTTCGAGAGATAGTTCGAGTAGGACACACTTTGGCAGTGTTTGGGAGTCGAGTGCAAAAGGTTAAGCTCTGCGCGATGTAATTACGAAATATTGGAATATACAGCTTTGTTCCTTGATTTGTTCGTCTTCTGGATAAGTTGGCTTTCGGAAATGTTTTCACGTTCGTTTCTAGTGGAAATGGTTTTAGTGGGCGACTTTCGAGATGTAAAGGGTTGAAATTAATTCGAACGCGAGTCGCATGATAGGTACTTGTGGATTGTAGTTATTCATTAGGATTCATCGCGATCACTTCAGTTTTTATTGTGGATCAGAGACGATCGGCTATTGCGGAAGATAATTTGTAATTGGTTCAACTGTTAGCGGAATTGATAACGATAACGGGGAACGAGCTGCCTTTGTTTTTAGATTAACGCGCGTCGTTACTTTCTTCAGATAACGTTGAGTTAGAAAAGATTAATATGAGGAAGCGACCGGATCTGATAAGCGAAAGACTTTTATTGCCGCCCTCTTCAAAGCTGACATCCAATTCCAACGGGAAATCCATAGTTGTTCCGTCAAACGTTGCAAAGAATAATTAACGCCGCAAAACAATTTAACCCTTTGCACTCGGGAGGTGACTCTCATTTGATCCGACGCGGTAAAACTATAAAATCTGATATTTAATGTTGAACTTTTTATAATGCCTCGATACACGATTAAAATAAAATACCTTTGTTCCTGAATGTACTTGTGATTCGAGTTTCAAAGAATATCGTCTTTGTTTTGTCAAAAAATATTTCTAGCGAGAAACTTCCAAGTGCAAAGGGTTAACCTGTGCGCTGGTAAATTGTTGCATGTTTAGATGCTTCCGTTCCAATGTTGCGATCGTTTCGGTTCAGAAACTGAATCACCGGTTTCCTATTTCTACACCGAACATTCTAAACAGTGCGATCGTTCGATATTTCTATTTCTAAGCAGGCAATAACAAAAACAAAGTTAAATGATCAGAAGGCAAACAAATAAATAAACCGATAACCTGACACTTTTGGACAGCGCAACCGAGAAACGCGATCGCGTCGTTTGGCACTCGAACGGTTGACAAACAGAATTAGTAATGCACATCCGTGTAAAACAGGTAAAAACAAGATTCTTCGCGCGAGTCTCTGCCGCGTCTCCAAATTAGCTGCCAGCGCAACGGATTGACACTATCGTTTCTTTCTAAATTATGATCGATCGAACTAATTTGTTACTAATAAATCATCGAAAATAAGAGAAAATTCCAGTCTTATTCTACGGTAACCGTACTTTAAGCTATAACTGACAACAGAGGAATAATACGTGATTTGCGTTCAAAGAAATGGAATAATATTTACGTTTAACACTAGAATTACTGAGCGGTTGAACTGATTTTTAAACTTTCTTGTATGGAAAGCATTTCGTTGATTAAGATGTCAGTTAAGTTATATCTTAATTTGTATATTATTATATTATATAAATAAATGTATAATATAAATGTTATATAATAATATTGTATATTATTATATTATTATTATTTGTATATCGTAAGACACTTTAAAGTACACAAAGCTGACAACATATGATGCTAAATTATACATTGAATGCTTAAACAATAGAACAAGAGGAAACTATACACTGATCTCTTACTATTAAACTAATTGAATCATTCGTTTGGAACTTGATACTCCAAATATGAACATTTCAACGATTAATACATCAACTATTTTAATCGTTTCTTGAAGAAGCATTTATATGCCTCCAATTATTATGAAAGAATAAATTCATTATGAAAGAATAGAGTCATTTTGATCAATCTGGTTTCAACCACTCGCGCTGGAAAGACGTGCCACGCACGTCGAGGCGTTTCTACCCGAAAATTCTCAATGCCTTTCACATATTGATAATCTCGTTGCATTACGCCTATTAGATTACTTCGAAATGCATCACTCTACACAGAACGAGCAACAAACAAAATTAGTGCACATATCAAAATTCCTCGCAGGAGACTTTGCCAATTTTCCGAATTCATCTGCAGCGCGAGTGGTTAACCCTTCGCGGACGAAGATTCTTTGAAATATACGAAACCTTCGACAGATTAAGCCAAACAATACACCGATCGCTTAATT